AATCGTCAAAATAAAAATTGGAAAACATGAATGAAAATCTATCTAATTTATATTTCTAATGCTTACACATCTTTCCTTTAATTGAGCCATTGCCATATATGTATATGTGTAACACATATGAAAATTCTGGGAATAGCGAGTTATTCCTTCAAGAAAGATTTGCTTCCTCAAACTTTCCCAGCAGGCAGATTGAGTAAATTGAATACGGGAGCACATTAATAAAGAACAATTTCAAATTGTATGCGTTCCCAATTTTCCTGTTGGGTGATTTTTAAAAACATAATTTGTCAAATTCATATTGACACTAGTATTACGGTGGAATCAAATCAGCTGGGATTTGCTGTTACCTTTTATAATTGTACCATGGTATAAAATTAAAAAAAAAAATACTATATGTATGTATATCATGACATTATTTTTTCGAACCAAAAACAAATAATTTTCTTCAATATCTTGTTTTGTTGTCGCTGTAATTTACAAATCACTCGTGTGATTTGGACATCTTTTGATTCATCATGGTCTTAGATTATGTATATATTTATACACTTCGGTATTGTCTTTGTGAATATGCATAGAATCACTTTGTAAGTCGATTTATGCATGTCCGTCCGTCTGTCTGTCCATGTTAAATTGTAAACAAACTACAGGTTGCATTTATGATTCGAATTGGATGAAATTTGGCACAGCTCATTTATTTGGCCCAAGGATGAACCCTATTGAAATTGAAAATTCGGTTCAGATTTAAATATAGCTCCCATATATATTTCCGTCCGATTTAAGGTAAATGGTGCACCAAAGTCCTTATATATCTTTCGATTTGCACAAAAGTTGGCACAGCGTACTGACTTAAGCCTAGAATGATGTGTACTATGTTTCGTAAAAATCGGTTCATATTTAGATATAGCTCCCATATATATTTTTGTCCGATTTAAGAAAATGGTGCACCAAATTAACTATGTATCTTTCGATTTGCACGAAATTTTGCATAGCGTACTGAATTAAGAGTTGAATGATGTGTGTTAAGTTTCATGAAAATTGGTTCAAATTTAGATATAGCTCCCATATATATTTTCGTCCGATTTAATGTAAATGGTGCACCAAAGACCCTATATATTTTTCGATTTGCACAAAATTAATTGAGTCTAGAATGATGTTTGGCTAAGTTTCGTGAAGATACGTTCAGATTTAGATATAGCTCCCATATATCGACGCCTCCGAACCATAGTATGCTAAGTCTGAAAAGTGAGTTTTTCAGTGGAAGCTCTCAAAGTATGGAAGTTTCTTATATCTTACGTACCATGCTAAGTACATTTTTGCTTATAACTTTGGTTTGGATGATTACCAAAATTTCAGAGAATTTAAATTAAGGACCGTAGTAAAAAAAACGTAAAGAGCTTTAAAACATGCTAATTCGACTTAGCATAATACTATGGTTCGGAGGCGTCGATATATTTTCGTCCGAGTTTACATAAATGATGCACCAAACTCCTAATGTTTTTCCATTAACAGGAAATTTTGCACAACGTATCAAATTTGGACTTGATTGACGTTTTTGTTTTTTTTTTTAATTGTGGCAGATGCAGCCATAGGCTTCCATATGGTTTTTGAACGGGTGTCTGATTGAAATTAAATTTTCAACAGAGCGGCGTACCGAATAACGCGTATCAAATCGTTTTCTATAAATTTGTCCAATGGTACGCAGACGACTCTTAATCGGCACGTACATAGAATGCACGTACATTTTAGGACAAATGCAGGGATCGGGAAACAGAAGATATTCATTGAATTGTGATTTAAATCAAGTTTTTCTCTGACTTTCCCTTTCATTTCAAAATTCTAATTTAAATTAAGTTCTACAATACATAGCTCCCGTCCATTTGGTTTATTACTCAAAAGGATATTGCAAAAGCTATGGTGAAATCCCATTTTAATGATATTGCAAGCTGATGGTTTCCAAGACAATGAATTGTATATTACTTGTTCCCTAGACCCATAAAAAGTAACATTTTTATATTAATTTCTACACTAATTATTATTAATACTAATTATTTTCATTTTTATTATAAGTAACCTTATGAACTAGATTGTGCTATTTTGTAATAACGATAATGAAAATCTTTAAATTGTACATATCGGACAATCTATTGAGTGAGGAGCACTCTAATTATGGTGGTTTTATAGAAATTGTGGTATCAAAAATAACAAAATATTAGCCAGCAAAAGTATGAATACCACTGGAGAAAACCCATGATTTAGAACAAGAGGGTTATGATAAGCAGGAACAAAACGAAGTTCTGCAGTTTAGCGAATCAGATACTATGAGCAAGCTGTAGAAGATGAAAAATGTGGATGGGTATCCATGTGGAGGTAACTAGAAGCGGACTAGTGCCTAGAATAGCGGCATATAATGGAAAAGAGAAGAATGAGTACAACAAGCGAAATCAGTGAAAGCTAAACTGGAGTCTGATGCAGAAAGATATGATTTTTTTATTTTTAAATTTTAAAAAATACAAAGATATGAATTCTATGTAAGTCCGTATACACAAAAGTCTTCATCTCTGAGGAAGTTAACATTAGTGTTACTTACAACATATTTCCATGTGGTGGTTGTATCGTTTGTTGTACAACAACACTTGCTGTTACCTCATAGTGTTATACCAATGGTGGGCAAAATTTCTCTTAAAAAATATTTAAGGGAAAATAAAAACAAGAATTGTTCTGCAGAATTTATTTAATTTAAAATTTTTAAAACATAAATAACATCTTAAGAAGTTCAAAAAATAAATTCATTAAAAAAATTGCGAAAAAAAATTTATAAAGGTTTATTTTTGTTTTAATAGCTCTGTCTGTTTACTCGATATTTAGTAACAGTTGTTACCAAATGTTTACCCAAAAATCCAGTAAAAGAGAGTCAAATGAGAGAGTAACTTTGACAGTTCAAAAACAACAAACTTACTGGAGTTTACGGAAAGAATTTTGTGCAGTAAGATTTTGCAAATACTCGACTTTATACACTGACTATCGCATATAACGAACGTTTTCCAAATTTATTTACTGGGTATAACGAGTGGCGCAAAAAATGATGGGCTAGCCTTATAAAAATATAAAAACACGTCATTATTAATGTTATTACTTTAATTAATATATTTTTTGTTACAAATCCATTGAAAAGTGGATTAACATTTTTATTTTAAAATAAAATTGCACCTTAAAAAACTTTGCGATATAATGAATTTTTCGCTATAACGAATGGACCTGTCAATATATCAACCGTTATACCGGGCGTTGACTGGCGCAAAAAACAATGGGCTAGCCTTATAAAAAGTATAACGAATGGGCCTGACAATATATCAACCGTTATACCGGGCGTTGACTGTATTTTCCATTCTTAAGTGGGCCACACACGTCAACCATGTGCGTTCGATCGGTGTAAATCGAAGCAATGTTTGACGTGTGTGGTACGGTTTTCACACCGATTTGGCGGTGCGCACACAGATCAAAAAAATGGAAAAAATTATTTTTTCGTTGTGCGACACGCACTTGTTTGACGTCTATTTTATGAATACGTGGTTATTATATGGAAACATTTAGATTTTTAGTTTCGTGACACTATTGGTCGGTTTCAGAACCTACAAGAATCTTCTATTAATCGATATTGTTTTCGATTTTAAAATAGCGACAAAGTTTTACGATTCGTTATTATCTATCAGCTTTTATTAATTTATCTTTTCAAATGTATGATGGGAAAAACCAAAAAAATATTTCGATTAGTTCATGATTCTTGCAGATTCGTGAACAGAGCAATATATGTTTAATCCAAGTAAATTCAGTATTTTATTTTTGATGTCATCTATTTTCATTTCCAAAATCTGGTCGCCTTACTTAAAAGTTTTAAGTTAAAACCACTCATAAAGAAGGTCGTGTAACGCGAATAAATATAAAATATTTAAGGGGACCCCCCCCATTCTCGGGGTCAAAATTTTTGTTGATATAATTCGAATCTACACTGATTAAAGAATGTCTCTACAAAATTTCAAGTGAAAATCTTAAGAACTGTTGAAGATATATCCGATTTATTGTGTCAGCATCAAGTGACGGCTGAAGAGCTTCTCAAACTTTAAACGCGTTTTTCTCTAAACATTTTTTTGCGAATGGCGGGCACGATAACTCAAAAACTAATAATCCAATCGGTTCCAAATTTTGCAACGTTTCTCTGGGAGTGTATAGCTCTCGTATGAACTAGGATAAAGCCAATCGGCCAAGATCTTCCTTATTTTTTAACTTGGTTTTTGGTAAAAAATCCGCGATTTTTCAAAAATATTTTTTCAAAGGGCCACCATTTTCTTAATTTTAGAGCGAAGTCAATAATCCTAGTTCATACGAGAGTCAGACATGTACTCTTTCTAACACCGTTGGAATTTTCGGATTCCGATGTTCCAGTGAGGTGTTATCATGCCCGCCATCAAAAATAAGGACTTTTCTTTAATTACAAAAAACAACAACAAAACAATAACAAAATTTTTTTGTAAATTATTTTTCTTCTCTTTTAAATCTTCAATTATATATGTGCAAAGTTACAAACCTTAACAAGCATTGGTATTGATTTACCAGCCCATTGAAAATCTTGAAAAAATAAAATCGAGAATGGGGGGGTTCCCTTAATATAAACAGAAATAAACTTGTTTTATGTAGTTTTTATTTTCATATACAAAATAAATTTTATATTTGTTTTTCGATTTCTTAATTACGTAATATAAGGAAAATATCGCTAAACTCACTATATTTTTTAGATATATTAATGATATTTATTTTCAAATGTTGACAGAGCATCTTGTATATTTACCTATTGATGATTAGCATTACAGAACACCTGCTCTGTAGGGCTAATACTAATTAATGTCACCAGATGGTTTTGAGTAAACGACAGTACCTAATATCGTAGTAAAATGAATAATACAATCTTCCAATCTGAACGTAACCGGAATTTATTAACAATATTATTAGACACTAATATGAGTAGATGTTTGTCGTTTGTTTTCTAAGTAAAATTCTTCATCAGTGGAGACATCATAAATGGCATCCGATGATATAACTCCAGTTGTAGGTATTCTAGCTTTTGGATCTTTTACCACAATCTGTTTATTTTCTATAAAGCAAAAGTAAGTACATTAGGAAACTACAATATCTTTAGCCACACTTAAACATTTTTTGACTTACTTTCTTCAATTCGCTTAATATCGTCGTCAGTATCACTATCGGAAGAAGATACCATTGCATCCGTTTTAGACTGAGATTTTGATACATGTTCATCTAAATCGTACAGAGACAATGTTTCATTTCTTTCCTCCGATTCACGTTTATTAGTTAATCCTGTCCCATTTTCTAAAACAAAAATTATATTAATTACATTAAATAAGTATGTTCTGATTCAATTACCCCTATCCGAAGTCTGTAATGATTCATCAAGTACCTCCTCATCGCTTTCGGGTTTCGTTAATTCCGCACTGTCTAGAGCAAATCGTCTCCAAGGTATGTATTTTTTATTATTGTAACATTTTTCTATCCATGACCGTGTTACAATTTTGCCCTTCCCTTTCACCTGGTTATATTTTGGTGTATTTTTAAAAGCACATCTAAAGTAAAAGTATAGTATTTATTAGATATTAAAGATGGGTGACATTCAAACTTTTGTAGGAATCTTTATAAATTGAAATGGACCGTACATACATTAAATGAGTGCAAGTATTGTCCCAGTCTCCCTTGTATTTGGCACCTAAAGCGATAGCCTTGCTTCTTAAATCTGCTCGATCTGGGTTCTGAATTCCACTGATTACTAAAACTACGCCCTTCAGTAATTGGTTAAATGGCTTATATTTTGCAATCAAAGGTTTGCACTTCTTTGCTGGTCTCATATTGGGCGAACTTGGACGTTTCTTTACGGACTCATGCTTAGGTGTGCTAGACTCAGCACTTAAGCTAATATTTGGTTTTGTCGTTTGGTCAACCTTTTCCTTTTTATTATCGCTTACAAGTCGCGGTGTCCTAGAATCAAGTGATTTCCTTTTCTCTTTTTGCTTTAATTCTTCTTGTTTTTTTGCATCAAGCCTTCGCCTTTCTCTTTCGGCGTCTATTTCCTTAGCTAGACGAGCTTCTTTCGCTGTATTCTCAGTGTCGTCAGCTGCACCAAACATCAGATCATCTCTATTGCGGTCCCGTATTTCAATTTTTGTGGTATCGCAGTGTCTATTTTTTATTGGTTTTTCAGGCATTTTTTGGGATTGTTTAATGATGCTGACATTTGTTGCATTGCGTATGGCAGCAGCCGTGGACTGCTCATTCTTATCTTTATTAGTTTTCCACCGACTGAATAGGCTGGAAGATCCATCATTTTCAGAGTCTGGTGAATCTTCACGTAATTTAAATTTTCCGATTTGTATAGAACTTGGCTTACTCTGAACCTCTGTTCCTATAATTTTGGCCCCAGGAACCAGCCCTGAAGACTTTGTAGTGTTGTTAGGTGCCACATGCACTTTAACAAACGACAGCCCATATTGAACGTGTTTGTTAAATGGCTGCGTGCAAATTATTTTGATAAGAGACCAATTTTTTTCAGCTACACTTGGAACTAGAGCTTCTGTACCAAAGCATCTTACCCTATTCGAATTGTTTGAGTTTTTGCTTTCAATCGGTGTCATAAATGAGCATGTAATTAAAATTTCCTGAAATAGCAATCAATATCCTTATTTTGTTGGACTAATGCATATGACAATTGAAGTTACTGTAAAGTCTTCAGGAGCCGCTGAAGATTTTCCAACCAAAACTTCAATAAAAGCGGAATGCTCGTTGCCAATATCTATGCCAGTTATCTTCTGAGCTTCGTCCAATTCAAGTATAACATAAGCAGACTTCTCTCCCACTGACTTAGTCTTCCATTTCTTGCCTTGTGAAGGCCTAATTAGGTTTTCCGCCGAATGTTGCTATAGCAAAAATAATTAGAGAACAACTTCACAACATTGGTATGTATATATAGTTTACATACGTCATCTTCACTGCTAACTTCACGAATTCTTGAAAATTTTGCAAATGGCATTGTCTTATTGATAAATTTGTAAAAACCGCGCAAACTATCTGTTTCTCTAGGTTCAAACTACGAGTTTCCTTTGCGAACAGGAACGATAGCAAATGTATTTTTTATGCTGAAATTTTTTTCTTTTAATTATTTTTATAATACTTGATATGAATTATAATAATTTATTTTTTTATAGAATTTACTTGGATGAATTAAAACGCCTTCACTATAGATATATTGTGCCGTAAACAAGGTAGAACAAGGAGCGTAAATAAAATAACAGACTAGGTCTAAACGCAACCAGAGAGTCACGAGTCAGCGTCATACTTTTTCGCCGGCGTGAAAACCAAACGAAAGAGTTAGCGTTAGCGGCACAAAATGTCAATTATTTGTTTTCATTTTCTGACAGAAAATTTTACGTTGTGCAAACCAAAATCAATTTATTATTTAATAAACAATAATGTCAAGGAATTTGGATAAAATTATTGAAAAAACTATTTTTCTTCCATTTTATTAATAATTCATTAAAAAAACATCCACAATCTTTGAAAATATTTGTTTTTTTAACAGTACTGCCATATGTTTTGATATAAATTCTCATTGGAATTTGGTAGCACTGTTGATTTTTACCTAAAATATGGCAACTCAATTGAGAGCAAGAGAGAAATTTTGAGTATGACGCTGAGCAAAAATGAATTAAATCTATTCTAGCGTCAAGCCGCTAGACGGGAACGTCAGAGTCTAAACGCAACCAGAGAGTCACGAGTCAGCGTCATACTTTTTCGCCGGCGTGAAAACCAAACGAAAGAGTTAGCGTTAGCGGCACAAAATGTCAATTATTTGTGTTCATTTTCTGACAGAAAATTTTACGTTGTGCAAACCAAAATCAATTTATTATTTAATAAACAATAATGTCAAGGAATTTTGATAAAATTATTGAAAAAAATAGTTTTCTTCCATTTTATTAATAATTCATTAAAAAGCATCCACAATCTTTGAAAATATTTGTTTTTTTAACAGTACTGCCATATGTTTTGATATAAATTCTCATTGAAATTTGGTAGCACTGTTGATTTTTACCTAAAATATGGCAACTTAATTGAGAGCAAGAGAGAATTTTTGAGTATGACGCTGAGCAAAAATGAATAAAATCTATTCTAGCGTCATGCCGCTAGACGCGAACGTCAGACGTCGCGATTTCCCGTTGCCTATAAGAAACACACGGCAAACGACTGTCGCTGACTCTAGACTCTATGGTTGCGTTTAGACTCTATAAGAAACACACGGCAAACGACTGTCGCTGACTCTAGACTCTATGGTTGCGTTTAGACTCTAGGTCATGATGCAATAATAAGGTGATGTATCAAAACAAAAACATTTTTTTTGTCTCGATTATCTGTCAAATTTGTCCTACTACTACTTGAATTCGATGTGCAATGCTGCCAAGTTTTTGAAATATTATAAGGAAAAATTTGACAGATAATCGAGACAAAAACAAAGGTTTTTGTTTTAATACATCACCGTATTATTGCATCATGGTTTAGTCCATGATGCAATAATAAGGTGATGTATCAAAACAAAAACATTTGTTTTTGTCTCGAATTTAGTCCATGATGTAATAAAAAGTGATGTATCCAAGGTATATTTAATAAGGTAGCCGCATCGGCACAGCTGTTGATGCAAATAAATGTCAAAAATGTTGTTGTAATGCCCTAGCAAACAATTAAAAAACAAAATTATAAATGAAAATCTCCGAATTTCGAAGAGCTTCTTTGCAATACTTTTATCATGGTACAATTATAAAAGGTAACAGCAAGTCCCAGCTGATTTAATTCCAACGTAATACTAGTGTCAATATGAATTTGACAAATTATGTTTTTAAAAATCACCCAACAGGAAAATTGGGAACGCATACAATTTGTAATTGTTCTTTATTAAATGTGCTCCCGTATTCAACTTACTCAATCTGCCTGCTGGGAAAGTTTGAGGAAGCAAATATTTCTTCAAGGAACAACTCGCTATTCCCTGCATTTTCATATGTGTTACACATATATATGGCGATGGCTCGATTATAGGAAACACGTGGAAGCGATAGAAATATAAATTTGATAGATTTTCATTCATGTTTTTCAATTTTTATTTTGAGGATTCGAAAATATTTCATTTTCAAAATAAAAATAATTTAATGATAATTTGTTTGTTTGTTTACATTTTTCTGTCAAATGAGTTGACACTAGTAGAACTTACAACAACAAATTTCCATGTGGTTGTTGTATCGTTTTTTGTACAACAACACTTGCTGTTACCTTCTATTATTATACCATGTACTTTTATTAATATTTTCTACAAGAAATTGTGTAAAAAAATCTTGCGAATCTGTTTGTTTTGGTAAAATATTTTTGACATATCAAAATACAACAACCGATGTTTGTTGTAGAAATTCGCCGATGCGGCTACCTTGTATATCTACCTTGGATGTATTCATGGCACAATGAATAGGTAGTCCATTTAGAGCAGCTGATGTCTTGATTAACTGTCAAAGTGGTCAATTTTACTTGAATTCGATGTGCAATGCTGCCAACTTTTTGAAATATTATAAGGAAAAATTTGACAGATAATCGAGACAAAAAATGTGTTTGTTTTGATACATCACCTTATTATTGCATCATGGATGTATCATAACAAAAACCTTTGTTTTTGTCAATTTGTTTCGTCTTTGAATAAAAAACACAACACAATTTATAATTTTTAAGATAATTTACTTGTAAATGTTCTTTAAATCATGAAATAATGCAAATGTGCTTTGCAAAGACGATATAAATTTAAATTGTATTGAAGCTTAAAAATATTAATATTATCGTTTTGACGTCTAACATATGGTCTGTTTCCATACTGTAAGAATCTGCAAGATTTTATTATTTTCTTCGATATCATAAAGAATAATTCGTTATCGTAGTAAAAAGTAGTAGATTCTTGCAGTAAGGAAACAGACCAATAATTTTGTATGTATAGGTTTCAAAATATGATTTGACAGAAAACTTAATACTCAGCTGTCCTTACTGCGCTATCTTATATAGGCCTTGGTTCTGCAGTATAATTTTTTAATTGTATTTCCATTTCAATTGAATTTTGATTTATTCGACTAAAAAATAAACACAAATACTCAAAATATGTATTTAGATTTAATAGAACAAGTCACTTTGAGAAAAAGCTTTTGTCAACAAGTAAAAAATACACCTCTAACTTGAGACTTATTTTGTTAAGCGGTGTACACACTATCATTTTTGAATGACACTCTTGCTGAAATATCGGGTTGCTTGCCAGTGTGGCCGTTAATTTCTCTCAGTCATCAGGCAACCACAAAAAAATTTATGGTTGCGTGACATTCAGATGTTGGATGTTTGTTGGTTCGATAATGTGAACATAAAAAACGACAGTCAGACAATAAATTTCAACAATAACATGGACTCCGAAAACGAATTTTTAAAAGAATTCCTATGTTGCTATGAAATGCAACGGTGTCTCTGGGACATAACCAATTCAGAGTACATGTCACGCGACATTAAAATGAAATCGTATGGAGAACTGTTAAATAAATTGAAAATATAAGAAAATTTGGCTTAAGTCTAGTTTACGGGCTCCACCCGGATCGCTTTGAAATTTTTACCGTAAGTAGTCCTCGTTGTGCTGATTACAGTGATATATATTTTATGTGGGGGAAATGCATACTTCCCGAGATATGGGCCTTGAAAGTTTGGAATATACCTTGGTTAAAACGGCCGTTTTACTAATGCCACCAAAGCAATATGGGTATCATTTTAAAGGGTTTGAATAGTGCTTTAAAAATAAATATAGTATATCATTGTAAATTATATAATATTAACTAAAATTGAAAGAAAAAACATTTGGATTGCGTAGCCATGTATGCGCCTGTCCATAGGTGAAAGTCTTAAGCCCCGGCCGAAGGCCGGCTACTTAAAAAACCTTGAATTTGATTTGAAAATTGCTCTTAAAAAAGGCTTTGGATTGCGTAGCCATGTATGCGTCTGTCCATAGGTGAAAGTCTTAAGCCCCGGCCGAAGGCCGGCTACTTAAAAAACCTTGAATTTGATTTGAAAATTGCTCTTAAAAAAGGATTTGGATTGCGTAGCCATGTATGCGTCTGTCCATAGGTGAAAGTCTTAAGCCCCGGCCGAAGGCTGGCTACTTAAAAAACCTTGAATTTGATTTGAAAATTGCTTTTAAAAAAGGATTTGGATTGCGTAGCCATGAGTGCGCCTGTCCATAGGTGAAAGTCTTAAGACCCGGCCGAAGGCCGGCTACTTAAAAAAAACCTAAATTTGATTTGGAAATTGCTCTTAAAAAAGGATTTGGATTGCGTAGCCATGTATGCGTCTGTCCATAGGTGAAAGTCTTAAGCCCCGGCCGAAGGCCGGCTACTTAAAAAACCTTGAATTTGATTTGAAAATTGCTTTTAAAAAAGGATTTGGATTGCGTAGCCATGAGTGCGCCTGTCCATAGGTGAAAGTTTTAAGCCCCGGCCGAAAGGCCGGCTACTTAAAAAAAACCTAAATTTGATTTGGAAATTGCTCTTAAAAAAGAATTTGGATTGCGTAGCCATGTATGCGTCTGTCCATAGGTGAAAGTCTTAAGCCCCGGCCGAAGGCCGGCTTCCTAAAAAGCCTTAAATTTTATTTGAAAATTGCTCTTAAAAAAGGATTTGGATTACGTAGCCATGTATGCGCATTCGTTGTAAGCTTTAAAATGATACCCATATTGCCTTTGTGGCATTACTAAAACGGCCGTTTTAATCAAGATATGCTCCGAAATTTCAAGGCCCATATCTCGGGAAGTATGCATTTCCCCCACATAAAATATATATCACTCTAATCAGCTCAACGAGGACTACTTACGGTAAAAATTTCAAAGCGATCCGAGTGGAGCCCCTAAACTAGACTTGTTCCGAAAATTTGTACTGTGGACGACGTGAAAAAGAAAATCAACACAATTCGTTCGTCCTACAGAAGGGAACTCCAAAAATAAAGCAGTCTGAAACTTCTGGAGCGGACAATAATTACCAGGCGAAGATTTGGTGGTTTGAGTCGTGCAAGTTTCTCCAGAGCTATTAGAAACCAACCGATAGCACATAAACACTGAGGAGTTGGTTCAGGGACTACGTCTGCAGTGGGCCAAGAACAAGAAACATGTCAACAATGGCTATCGCCTGGAGAAACAAATGCGCTACAGTCGTACCAAGAAAATGCCTTTGGAATTCACCGCTGCAGATCGTATCTACTTCGATGAGTCCATCAATTTGGCTGCCTGCATGAAGGAGAATTTCCAAGATGAACTTGAATCGTTGGACTTCAGAACCAAAGCCGAAGAGGAGCACATGGAAATCAACAACTGGATTGCAAATGTAATACGCAACGAAATCCCCGAAATGTTAAATCTCTGTGATGTTACCTCCGACAGTCAAATGGTTTTGGCTAATGCTGCCTATTTCAAGGTTCAATGGTCGGATAAATTCGATTCCAAAGATACAAAACAGGAGATTTTCTATACCATGCCTTGCCAATATTCTTTCGTACCCATGAGGCATAAACCTGGAGAATTTGTAATTGGTACCGATTCTACGCAAATTGGGCATCAACAATCTGTTCTAGCATACCGCCAACTTGAGTGGCTTCTCCACGGAAACAAGCCTGATGTTTGGTGATGCCAAACATGTTGCCAAAATCAAGGTTGATGATACTACGACGTTTGCCCTATTCTCTCTGTCTATTGTTTTATTTATAAAAAATGGGGACGTGTTTTATGTTCGTTTTTTTTATTTATAATATCAATACAAAGGAAGCCTAAAACGGCATATACATTAGAACTTTTTACCGGGTTAACCTACTTTATGAGGATTTATTTGACATATATGCAAAGGAATTGACAGTTGAAACCTACTGGGTTAACGAAATCCGGTTAAATGTAAACGTACTATAAGAGGCCTATTATACATGTATTGTGAGAAAAGATTCTATGCAATCAATAAGGAAATTCATAACTTAACTTAACCTAAAAGAAATTAAATCAAAATATAATATTTATAAGTGACTCCCCAGCTATATGAATATTGTATATAAATAATTTTTAATCATGGGATAACCCTATAGCAATCAGCCATTTATATGATTTATTTCATTGTAATGGGACTTTAGTTTTTGCTTAAATGTATGATAAGAGTATGAAAATAGTTTAAGACTGTTGGGAAGATAGTTCCAAATGCGATAGACTCTAACAAGATATGAATGTTCATAAATTGAAGAGTGAACCAAAGGAATATCGATTTGAATATTACGCGTAGAACGAATAAAAGAAAACGAATTTGATAACATTTCAGGTTTTTGGGTTTTCATAACTTTATAAAAGTGCAATATTATTCTTTGGCAAAGATAATCTCTAAAGCTTCCACCTAAAAATGCATAAGAGTACTCAATTGCACTAACGTGATCGTATATATACAAAGAGTACACATATCTTATAATTTTCCTGAATATTCTTTCTATTTTATCAATATTATATGAACAAGTTCCTAAATAAATTTCAATGCCGTAAATTAATGTCATCATAAAGGAAAAAGCCAGTCGAATCCTCACAAATCTGGGGTATATGCTCTAAGGCTATAGAGTCTTCTCAATATAAGACAAATTTTGTTTGAGAGAGCATTGATATGACTGCTAAAATTAAGATTGGAGTCCAGTATAACTCCAAGACATTTCAGGGAATCAGTAAATTCAATTCGAACATTATTAACATACAGTGCAGGATAACTTTCGAATGGCGATTTCTGGAATGGAAAATTATACATTTTGTTTTTAACGGATTTATTTGAAGTTGATTGCGAACCATTAGATTATATATATTACATAGGTGGGAATTAATACTATATTCAGAAGAACCAGAATCAAATAATAGAAAAATGTCATCAGCAAAGACAAAGGGCTGGCAAATCTGACTTTTTGAAAGATCTATTATATCATTGATATAAGAAAGAAAAAGTATGGGTCCCAAAACTGAACCTTGCGGTACACCCGATGTCACACACCCAACACTAGAGCAGAATCCGTTTGTAGACACATATTGTCGCCGATCAAATAAATAAGAGAAAATTAACTTGCACGCAGTTTTTGAAAAATAAAATTATCGCGTAGCTTAGCTATTAAAATATTGTGGTTTATGCGATCAAAAGCTTTCGTTAAATCCAACGAAACCATTAAACAGTTTACATTATCATACAACTTTTTTCTGATAGAGTCAGACAAAGTAATTAACGCAGATGTTGTGCTGTAGTTAGATCTAAAAGCAAATTGATGTGGGCTAAAATAATAAAATAATCGATAATGTTCCAATATTTGACTTTTCATAATATTTTCAAGAATTTTAGACATTGAAGGAAGTATAGTAATTGGTCTAAGATTGTCATGATCAAAACTGCGATCTTTAGGCACAGGAACAACACGTCCAGGTTTCCAATCAGACGGAAATTCAGAAGTAGTAAGAATTGTATTTATGAAATGTAATAAATACGCAGAAATTAGTGGAAAAATAATTTTTATAAATTTTATAGGAACTAAATCATGTCCAACAGATTCAGATTTAACAGCGTTAGTGTACATAATCAAGTCTGTATGTGATATAGTGTGAAAAGAAAAGGAATTCTCACTTTCAGCAAACGTTTCAAAGTTGAAAGAATAATCATCACTAGTATTCATATTGCTACGAAATTTATGTGCAATAGCTTCAACATCAGCCTCTTCTAGCACCACACTTTCGTTTCCGATACAACCTAACGAACGAATTTTCTTCCACATCTGAGAGTTATTAACATTAGAAAAATGCTTACAGCCATATTCATAACTAGCTTTTCTGATGGTAGCCTTGGCCTTATTTCGTAAACGACAATATTCTTTCCAATTCTCCTCAGACGAATTTCGAAGAAATTGTCCGTATGCTTTATCTCTGGTTTTCCTTGCGTTTATTATACTTCCACAGTTCATCCAGGAGTTATTAATTAAGTTTGTTTTTATTCTTATAGTTGGAACACTGTTATGAAGGATGTTATTGCACGATTTAATTCAGACAATTGTAAATCAACATTATTTGTGTGATAGATAGGCATTAAATCAATACCATCAAGCTGTTCGGACAAATCATCATATCTAAGGCGATTGTAATCTTCTATCACGGCACATCCATTATTCAAGGTTGGAGAAAATTGAATAGATATATAAATAAAACTGTGATGGGAAGAGAAGAAAGGAAGTTGTAATTGATTTTATGGGCAACGCAACATAATGAAGTACTGTTATTTGGTATATGGAAATGTGTCGGT